ATCGCATTTAAATTAACACCACACACAGTACATATCGTTGCCATCTGCAGAATACAAAATAATATATTTATTGTTTTTTCAGGTTAAGGAATAAATTAACTCATGGGAGAAGATTTCTAGTAGTGTTCAAGTTCAGCACGTCATTAAAAGAAAACTTTTTTTTTTTTTTTTTTTTCGCTTCACGTTTCTGGGACGTGTTTCTTTTAGCCTGTACACATTTTGGTAAAAGAAACTTGTTTCGAAGTTCTGAACCTCTGAATATGCATGAATAGAACACTTCCGACGAATTCTTGATAGTTTTTTTTTTTTTTTTCTCCTGCTTTTTATTCCCGCATTTATTCTTTTTTTTTTTTTTTTTTTTGTTACTATCGGCACAGGTGTTTAGGTCGAAAAGACAGCTTTGAACTTCCGAACCACTAAGCATGTGGCGAGCAGTGCCTTCTGACAACGAGTTTGTAACAATGACCATCTACGCAACCTTTTATGCAGTGAAGAGCTATACATATGCATAAATAATTTCAGATTAAAATAAGCTCGACCACGCCCTCTTTCCCCGTATTGTTTTCTTTAACAGTCCGAAATACCTGCAAGAGAAAGAAGAAGGCTGAAGCCCCCCCCCCCCCCCCCCCCCCCCCCCCCCCCGCTACACTCTTCCCCCCCGTTTTCCCTCTTCCGACGCCACTTGTATGGTAGAACGCTCCTCGACCTCGAGTTGTGTCGGCTTTTGTGCTTTTTGCGAGGCGATTCCTCCGTCCCAGAAAATAAACCTCCAGGACAATTACAAACTTCACCGGATCGGATTACTACCAGCGTGCAAGGGGTGGGGAGGTAGTTTGCCAGGTCGCTTCAAGGTTTTTCTGAGCCTCAACCTCCTGCTCGCCCCTGGCCGTTTCGAACTGGATGAGTCTCGTAAAACAGTGTGTTCGTGCAATCACTACTGCGTGATGCAGGTTAAAGACCCCCCCCCCCCCCCCGGGGCTGGCGGTCACAATTCTGCACTGGCAAAGATTCTAGCACGTCCGGGACACTCGTCGTCTCATTTAATTGCCTGACCAACTTCGCAGAATCTAGATATCACACCCTAACTTTTCTAAACTTGATTTTGTGAAAACAAGTGAGTCGTGAAAACGTTATTTGAAACTGAAACTGTAGAAAAACTTGAAAATCGGACTTCGAACTTTGAAAACTTGGATTAGAAAAAAATTCAAAATCTTCGAAGTTTTTTTTTTTTTTTTTTTTTTTTAGTTTAGCGTTAAAAAAGAATCGAAACCTTCGAACTTTTCGAACTTTATGCAAAAAGAAATTCGAAATCTTCGAGTTGTTCGAACTTCATGTCTATAAAAATTCGAAGCGTTCGAAGTTTTCGAATCTTTTTTACAAAGAATTTCGAAATCTTCGAATTTATTGAACCTGAAGTAAAAAAATATTCGAAATGTTCGAATTCGAAATTTTAGAAACCGTGAAAGCTTCGAAATTTTCGAATTCGAAACTCCGCTGTGGTCAAAAGTTGCGAATTTTTCGAAATCGAACCTCGGTCGGTACGAAAATATCGAAATTTTTCGAAATCGAACCTCAGTTCGCTTCGCAAATATCGAAACCTTTCGAAATCGAACCTAGGGTGGTTCGCGACATCCCTAGTAATTAGCAGACAAGGAACTGCAGTTCCTTGTTGTTACCGCGCCTGTCTTTTTTGTTTCTGCGACTGTCACCGCCTGCGGAACGCGCGCCGCTTTTGTGTCGAAAAGATCGTCTGCTAAAGAGCCTTTGAGGAATACCTCGGCCGGCTCTCGGCGCCCGTATGCTCGTTCGTTGGCGCAAAGTCCCTTACGTTGGCGGCGTTCGTTGCGCCTTCTCTTGTCTACCGTGCAAAACGGCGCCGTGTTGATTGCAGACCGGTGGCGTCGCTGCGTTTTCATAGGAGCTAAGCCTTTTTCTTTCTTTACTTTTCCCTCAGGTAAGTTCGCTCTTTGCAAATTTTACAAAAAAAAAAAAAAAAAAATGCACCATCTGTGGGCAACGCTGCACAAAGTCGTAGCGCGATAGGTTAAGAAACCGAATTTTCCGGTCGATTTAAAAAGCCTACCGTCTCCTTGTTTCACCCGGTAGAACACTGTACCCGTGGTGTAACCTAATCTTGAACCCAGATGTTCCCATATGCGGCAGCACATATTTAGAAAAAAGCTAAATTAAGTTTTCTTTTTCTTTTGTAAAATACAAAACTATTTTAGTTTCTTTTTAATTATGCGGATTCATCTGGTCAACAAGACAAAAATTTCTTGCGTGCGCGTGCGCACCTAAAACAGTGGGCGAGCAACTCGCGCCGAGAAAGAAGAAAGAAGAAAACGAAGGAACAATCTTCGGGTTATCGCTGCCAGTTTTGCTCTGCAACATCATTCGCAATGTAAGCCGGCGCCGACGTTTCAAAGCGACGAATCTAGTAGAAGAGAAAAGAAATGTGCATTTACCTTTCAGACTCATTCGAAGGTTTTAAAAGTACAGGGTGTCACAAATGAAAATTTACACAGTCTTTTTTACCGCAAAAATAAACTAGGCATCGCCGAACGCTCATTCTCCTCCCAAAGGTAGAGCTAGAGGTCACAACCAGATGCCAAAGTTTCAGCCCGATCCGATAACTTAATCAAAAGTTATAAGTGATTTTCTGAGAATTTCAATGGGAAATGGAGCCCAATTTTGCCCGTTTTCGGTTTCTGGTGCCGTAGAGCTCCATGTGTTTGAAAATTCCGTCGGCCGCCATTTTCCCATTGAAATTTTCAGAAAATCACTTATAACTTTTGATTAAGTTATCGGATCGGGCTGAAACTTTGGCATCTGGTTGTGACCTCTAGCTCTACCTTTGGGCGCAGAATGAGCGTTCGTCGATGCCTAGTTTATTTTTGCGATAAAAAAGACCATGTAAATTTTCTTTTGTGACACCCTGTATACCCATAAATTCGCATCCGAAGCGGCTTGCCGATCCGCGTGGTCCAACAGCATGGTCAAATAAAAACAAATACAATTCGGTTATAATTAAGATAGATTTGACCATAACATAACAACTCACTTTTCTTTTTAACAATTCGCTAAGTATTTCTTTTGTTATGCCGCACTGTGTCATGTTTCATAAGTGCTACGGTCGAATCCAGGTAAACGCAGTCACTGGTTGTGTTTACATGAATGCAAACGTAGCCAGCCATTGACGGGTTTTATACACCTTGCGACATGCTTGACAACGTCTGTTTCAGCATGGCAAACGCTGGTCTGGGTAAAATTTACGAGCTTTGCCACTTGGTGGCAGCACCAGTTCTTCCAGTACTTAAGGAAATTCACATTTGGGAGTACTCAAGGTTTCGAACCTACCAAGGGCAGCTGGCACGAGCCCAGCGGAGGAATGAGGATTAATTTCGAGCGCCCGGGGAATCTTCTGACGTCCAAATCTCGGTTAGACCTCGCCTTCTGCGCCATATAAGCCTCCGTCAAATTGCGGGTGTATACCTTGGCCTGGATTCGAACACTCCAAATGAAGATTGGTAGGCCGGCGCTTTGCATCGAACCCGCCGAGGCGGCTTGCCTCTGTACTATTTGCACCATTTTTTACTTGTATACAACTTGAACTAACTAATTCCAGCTATGCGGTTTCTGGAACGTGTCTTCGGCTGGTGCGTTTTAGCGTCCTACCCTGGCCATCCATCAAGTGTGGTCTCGGAGTGGCAACAAACGACGTCAGAGGAACCGGCGTATCACGCTGTCGAATGTCGCGATCCTTGCGGTTGAACGTAAACGTCTCGGCAAAATGGACGAGCGAAAGCGAGCGTCGCTGTCGTCGTGGCGTCCCAACTCCACGGCTGCTAAAGCTGCAGCAGAACGTGCGTCTTCGTATACCATGCCACGATGCCTGGCAGACGACGGCATGACTCATATATGACGTCATCAGGCGAAAATCGAGAAACCGCTTTTTAAACCCCTTAAAAGAAAGCATACCAGTCGGAGACGTACTTTTTTAGAGCGCAGCTCTTAGGGGCCCGTTTCCGGCTTGAGCGGCGTCGGCGTCGCCGTCGGCATAACCGCGAGGTCACGTGACCCCCAGATCACGTGATCCCCCTTTAGGTCACGTCACCCCCCCCTCCCCGAGGTCACGTGACCCCTCCCCCCCCGAGGTCACGCGACCCCCGTCCCCCCGAGGTCATGTGACCCCCCTGACGTCGCACGACCTCCCTGAGGTCACGTGACCTCAAGGAGTCGCCTACCCTTAGTACGCTTAAATCCTTCTGCTTAAGAGCTGCGCTCTAATTCGGCGTCACAGGGAGTTGTAAACGGGTTTCATTTTTAGAGCGCAGCTCTAAAAATTTTTTCCCCGCCAAATTTCCCCGCCAAATCTAGCGGGAAAATTTCCCCGCTAAATCTAGCGGAAACAATTTCGCCGCTAAATATAGCGGAAAAATTTCCCCGCTAAATCTAGCGAAAACATTTCCCCGCTAAATCTAGCGGAAAAAATTTCCCCGCTGAATCTAGCTGAAAAAATTCCCCGCTAAATCTAGCGAAAAAAATTCCCCCGCTAAATCTAGCGGAAAAAATTTCCCCGCTAAATCTAGCGGAAAAAGTTTCCCACAAAATCTAGCGAAAAAAGTTCCCCGCTAAATCTAGCGGAAAGATTTCTCGCTAAATCTAGCGGAAAAATTTCCCCGCTAAATCTAGCGGATAAATTTCCCCGCTAAATCTAGCGGAAAAAATTTCCCCGCTAAATCTAGCGAAAAACTTTCCCCGCTAAATCTAGCGGAAAAATTTGGTCACGTGACCTGGGTAGTCACGTGACACCCCGAGGTCACGTGACCTCTGAGGGGGAGCACGTGACTGCCCCTACGTGACCCCCCCCCCCCCCCCCCCCCGAGAACACGTGGCCCTCAGTACCCTTCCCTCCTCCTCCTTAAGAGCTGCGCTCCAATTCGGCGTCACAGGGAATTGTAAACGGGTTTCATTTTTTTGAACCTTTTATGTTGCTCGATTTTCAGCATGAATCGGATTCCTTCAACACCCGTCGATGCGACGAAGAAATCGGATCAGTCGAAATCCGAATCGCCAAACTCCGAAAAAGGTGAGTGGTCCAAGTCCTGTTCTCAACGTCTCTCATCCCGATCAACGTGGCGCTAACCCAGCGGGTAGTCGATCATATCTCTTTCCGAGAACTGTAATGGGCATCTGCGCGATCTCTCCTGCCACCTTGCAGCGGAGGATTGCACGGGTTTCAATAGAAACGTACGGCCAAATGATCCGCATGTTCAGTAACATGTACAAAATGCCACTCCCCCCCCCAAAAAAAAGAATAATAATAAATAATTAAAAAACAGCGTTTTTTTTTATTTCAATCATAAATTATGCGTCGCCGAACGCCGATTCTCCGCCAAAATGTAGCGCTAGCGTTATGAAACAAATGCGAAAATTTCAGGACTAACCTTTATCTTATTCAAAAGTTACAAGTGACTACGGACAGAACTCTCGAATACATGGAGTTGAGTGGTGCCAGTTGCTGAAAACGAGCCCCGATTTCCAACTGAAATTTGCAGAAAATCACTCGTGACTTTTGAACGAGATGACAGTTAGTAATGAAACTTTGGCATCTGGTTCGAACCGCTAGCGTCAAAGTGTTATCTGATGCCATGGTGTAACTTAACCGGTAGGTTAAGTTACCCTAAGAAGGTACAACAAACTTCGAGGGTCATACCAACACCACGGAAACGCTCTGCCTCCCGTGAAAATCCTCTCGTCGCGATGTGAAAATATCGGTTTTGCATTGGTTTTGCGTATTTCACGGCAGTACAAAGAGAACGGACCTGACCCTGCCCTTATGAGCGCTGGGCGGGGGCGGACTTCCCAATAGCCAGAGTAGGCAGCTGCCTATAGATCGGCAGCATTTCGGGGATGTGGCCGCCCCCAAATTAAAGGTTTTCTTTTTTTTAAATCTAGCTTTGAGTTTTGAAACTTTGGGGATTGTAGCTTTAGGTCTAGCTACATTTGAAAAAATTTAAACCTAAAACTTAACTACTTCTTCATCCCCCCCCCCCTTCTTTCCCGACCATGGAGAAAGGGGAGGGGGGCGGCACTGCTAAAAGTTGCCTAGGGCGGCAAGAAGCTAAGCCCTCCTCTCCGAGGTATTTCGGTGGCGTCATCCTATGGTTTTCGTTCCTAACGTCGCAACCAGGATTTGCCTCGTCGTGATTGGCAGGATTTTCCTCGTAGTGAATCGGGCATTGGGCAGGCATTATCAGTGTACAGGAAGCTACGGTGTTTGGTTAATCGCCAACTTTGACCGCAGCGACGCGTTCGGTCGGGCACGTCGCTAAATAGGCCTGGTCGGAAGACGCTTGGAGCGCAAGCACGCTTTGCTCTGTAAAACGTGCTTCGTCTGCGCAGACGCAGAGGAAGCGCGGAAAAGCTTCCACCTGAATGCGCAGGATAAGGAGCCGTCTTGATATCACCTGGCTTGGTTGTAAATAACGATGATAAACCTCTAAGCAGTCAAAATGTACTTGTTTTAGAAACACGATTTTACAAAAAAAAATATTTTATTAATAAAAAAGGAAACAGGCAAACTGATAATAGCGGGGTTGTTCGTTTCTTTCTTTATTTATTTTTTTAATTATGTTTCTCAGTCTCTTTTTTTTTATTGTGGTATAAATTTATTTTGATTTTTTGCGTAACGTTGGGAGATGCAGAAGGCGTTATGTGCGTCTTAGCCTCTTTGACTTTTCTGGCGCGTTTAGACTTTTAGATGGGAGTGTAGTGGTCTCTGACTTCCTTGCGATTACTCCTCCTTTTTTTTGCGATTTCATATTTATATATTTTTAAACTAATTTCAGATTCGTCTGAGACAAAACTATTTAGAGGCAATAACTCGCAAGAATAAACTAGTTATAGAAATAGCGTTGTTCTTGGTAAATGTGTGGCTTGTGAAACGCTCGCGGTAAAAAAGCATGTCGTGGAAGTTAGTTGCCAAAAAGGTCACGATAATAAAAGTGAAAGCTTGCTTAGGATAGTAGGGCACAACAAGAACGAGTGCTCGTTTACCTTGAAGTGGCCTCAGTTTGTAATTCTGCGGGGAAAAAAAAACCTCTAGACAGCGATAGTTACTGGAAAAAGGGGCTTTAGAACCCTTCAAGCCCAACGTGCGCCTCTCCACAGTCCAGCACGCACAGAACCCTTCAAGCCCAACGTGCGCCTCCCCACAGTCCAGCACGCACAGAACCCTTCAAGTCCAACGTGCGCCTCTCCACAGTCCAGCACGCACAGAACCCTTCAAGCCCAACGTGCGCCTCTCCACAGTCCAGCACGCACGCGTGTTTCGCGCTTCGGAAAGCGAGCAAAGCACGCACCATACGCACGAACGCTGAAATTGATACCGACAACAAGCCCGTTTCTAAAAAAAAAAAAGCCATAAAAGCTATGCATTAAAAAAAATCAGACTGCATTACTAAGGTTATAGATTTAGTAACGTCTGTTACAGAGACAGCAACTCGGCGCTCCTGTAATTCGCCATTGTTTGTCGCGTCGTTGATGCTTCCGCGCATCCTCCTGAACACGATTATGGGGATTTTAAAGCCATTTCTCCGATTCTGGGGATTTTAACGCCATTTTCGCGTTCGCATTCGATTCAACCACCGTGCCTAACCAATGCTGCGTCTACGAGCCTCAGCGCGCCGTAACTGAAAGTCGCGTTCTTTGAGCTCTCCGAGGTCTAGCCATACGCAGTGCACGTTCGTTTGCTCCGATGGTCGTGCGCATGCCCCGAATCATCAGGGTGTCGGCTACAGCCATAGTCAAGGTGGACCTTCCCAAGAAAGAGCGTGTGGCCGGTTCCATCTCGAGTGTTCGTGCGCATGGTGCGTGCTTTCCTCGCTTTCCGAAGCGACGAACACGCACGTGCTGGGCTGTGAAGATCGCACGCTGGACTGTGATTTCGTAAACATTGGAAAGGCGCGGACGCCCGAGGCACCGAGAGTTTTCGCGAAGGACGACAACGCAATTCCTCCGAGGAGGTTTCCAGCAACAGCTGTCTCTATAAAACACGCACTTTACAGAAGGGGAATCCAAGCCGGGCACTCCGAACACTTCGAGTCCTTCGAGAGAGTCCGAGATATCCAAGCCGGTGCCGGACGGGGATGAGGACGTCTTGCCCAAGCCCGTCTACGACCCGAGGGCCAGGGCTCGCCGACCCAGCATCTACGCGATCCGCACGGAGGTCTTCGACGACGTCGTCATGAACAGTGGGTGTTTCTTCTTTTTTATTTCTTTTTCTTTGTTTGACAACAATCTAGCCGTTGTTAAAAGGGAGTTTTTGTGGGGTGGCGATGTGGGGCAGTTGGTTCATACTGACAAAAGGGCAAACAGCGCGCAAAAAAGAGGGACAAAGTAGAATAAGTGAACACAGGACAAGCGCAGCCATAACACGGGCAACGCTCGGCGTGTGCTCACTTCTGCTTTGCCCGTTTTTTTTTTATATTTTTTTTTCGCGCGTTTCTTTTTCTTTCTTTCTTTTTTTTTTGGGGGGGGGATTTTTGTAGGTCGTTTTCGCCGTCCTCGTTGCGGAATGCAGAACGGAGAGGAAAAACCGGCCCACGACGAGTCCTTGGTGGCGAGGTTTTGCGGTGGATCCCGTATTTTGTTTCGTGTATACGTACACGCCGTGATTCATTTCTCCTAGTCTCCGTTGAATTTAGCGGGGAATCAGTCTCCTAACTGACATTGGGACGGTACAGTGTCACGTGACATCATGTCACGACGACATAACTTCCCGCTAAGTTGAGCGGAGAAATTTCTCAGCTAGATTTAGCGGGCAAATTTCTTCATTAAATTTAACGAGCAATCAAGGTGTCCAGACACCGACGGCGTGGTGGGGTCACAAGATGTCGTGTCGCATGACGCCTCAACTTTCGCGCTAAATTCAAGCGGGTAAATTTCTCCGCTAGATTTGGCGGGGGTTTAGAGACACCTGACGTCATGATACCACGTGACTTCACAAGGTGACTTGACGTCATTGTACCACGTGACATGACAATATCACATGATGTCGTTGCGTCACGTGACGTGATAGTTAATTTGAAGGACATGGCAAGAAAGCGGGAATGTTATTTTTATTATTCCAAGTTGAAGTGAAGACCGATTGGCTTTTTTTGACGGGTTGACTTGCGACATTCTGCGCACAAACATACAGGACGGCGGTGGCCGAATGGATTGAACCTATCTTGAGATAAATTGCGTAACTCAGTCGTGCACTATACTCCGATACAAGTAAAGAACGCACTAGAAGCTCCTCCCACACCCCTCATATGCCGCCAGTCACTGTTCCTCCGCGATGCGCAAAGAGTCCTCCGTCGACCAGCGCGCATCGCGCTGACGTCACAGAACTTGTATTGGGTATTGCCTCTCCTGGTTGGTCCGCGGAGTAATTCGACGACGCCGTGACTGGTACGTGGTGGTATTTACTTGACCCATTCTCAACCTCTGTGCGGCTATAGCAGTATGCTTAATTTACCAAAAGATACGTGTGTATACGGTACATTTATTTTGTTAAAAGTGTCGAGGAAACTCGGACTTAAAGCAAGCGCTGGTTGAATTAGTACATTCAATGCGTTTTAATGTTTTTTTTGTACGTGCTTGTTGTGTTAGTAATCATATTATAACATTAGGTATAAAATACAAACATTAATTTTTGTTTGCACAGTAGAAGTAGGTTCCCGCACCGACGTTGTATACGAATCCGACAAATGAATATTTGTCCTGGTTCTATTCTAATACCGGTATCATGTTTCCTTCATCCAGAGCCACGCAAAGATCGTCGCGTGTAAGTACAGGTTTCTTTTTTTTTCTTTAGAATTTCGGTGAGGCTCACTGGGCATTAGGCAGAGTTTGCCTTTAACACCAATGTTTCACTTGAGACTCTGACGAATATTGGTCCCTCGCCCTTACGCAAGACAAAGTGCTGCGTTCGTGCTGAGTGACGTAGGGGCGCCATCTCTCCCCGAGAATTCGAAAACAGAGTCGGGCCTGCAATACTCGCAACTCCAATAATGTGCATTCAATTCCCATTTCTCTGTTTCACATTTAGGCCGCCAGGCAGCGCCTGTATTCGCTCTAAACTTGGATGTGATGTCGCTCCCCGCTTCTCTTCCTCGCGTCTTTGTCGCTGGGTGGCGTTGCCTCCTGTGGAGCTGTGGGAGTTGCGAATAGAAACTCCCCTATTGGCCGTGACTAGATCGCTCTCACGGCGCGAGCGACACCCACCAACTTTCAGTAGTCATCATTCGAGCCAAGTGCTAACTCACACCTCGTTCATCGTTTAAGCATGTATGAAGGAGTCACGTGTCGGCGCAGGCACTTCAACGTGTCCCCCGGAGAGCTGGGCATGAACCCGCCGTCAATCGCCTGGTTCATGTGCCTCTGCTTCACCATGTTCTCGCTGACACTGTCCGTGCTCTTAATCGCCTACTACGTCAACAGGAACGGTGAGCACTATGAAAAGTCGCGTGTTCCGCAGTTCCGTAAAAGACTTTACATTTTACTCTGCGAAAATCAAATGGCCTTGCAGCGGACAACTTTTGCGTAGATAGAACGGCTGGACGCGCGTAGTCTCTGGGTTTTCATTTCTGAATTGGGAGGGTTGGCTTGCGCCATCTACTATCGTGAACAGCCTTCGAGGCAGCGGAGACAGCCGTTTCTGCCGTCTCGGCGAGTTCGGTATGTCGGTGCGTCGGCTGCAGCCCTCTCTTTCGGCACAGCACGAAAGTGCAACAGCGCGATGCGCATGCGCAGACGCGGCTTGTCCACGACGGTGGGGGTGGGCCGTCATATTGCAAATGGGCGGAGTAGAATGTATTTTCTATTCGTGTTCACCTCATAAACTGTAGTGAAAAAAAGAAGCTTGATGTTTTGTTCCACATTAGTACTTTCCTATTTCATGCGGTGAATCAAGATATATGTAGCTACATGTTCGATTGGATTTATATTATTTTATCAAGACGTACACGTTTCAAACGCCGAAAACATCGTTCCTATAGCTTATTTCGGCAACCCAATCTTGTAAGAACTATTATTCGCGCGGCGCATGAACAATGCACCAAACTTTTTTTTTTATCATATATGACAAGTTAAATATTTATTTCCATATTGGGTCATCCAATTTCCCTCTCTCTCTTTCTCTCTCTCCCTCTATGGCCGGGAGCAGCCGCGACCTTCGACTGTCGCAGCTGCTGCGGTGAAAAATGGAATTTCGCTCCGAGAGTGACGGAGCGAAATACGAGGAGGTACCTTAGTGCACGAGTGCACTCTATCGATACTTTGTCAGGTACCTCGCTCTGACGCTCTCAATGGTTCACAAGAACTTGAGCTTTTGTTGTTTCGCAAGCCATAGTGAAGCAGTGTACTCTAGCTCTTGCGCTGAAGCTGCAACCTTCGAAGTTATAGTCTCGCAACCCAAGCGCTGCTTCTGTTTGATATCTTTAGTGTACGCGGATGGTCGTCAGATGCTTTGTGAAGGCTATAATGACCCATAATAAGGCCACATTATTGTATTGGGGACGTGGTGCCGACATATATGCGACTGTAAACAGCGAAAACAAGTTCTCACCACTGGAATAAAACGAACATATTGGTTCCTCGTGTCTTGATCGTTTCACGTCAAAGTTCAACAGACTGTCCAGTCGTAGAACGACGGGCTACGAGTCACTAGCTCTCTGTGACTGAAGCCCTTCTCACTTCTTTTTTTGGTTTGTTTTTGGAGGACACTAACAGCAACGTTACGGTTGTGTGTATACTATTGACTGCAGGTATTCCCACGCCGCCACTACAAGTTACCAAGAAGCCTTCTCAGGGTGAGGGTTATGCCAGGGCCTACTGTTTTGGTGTGGTAACTTCCTAGACTTTAGTCTGTTGCAGGTTAAGAAATGGCAGGACAAGCACCTCCTAGAAGGCCCTTTACTTTTTTCCCTTTAGCAGAGCAAACGCAGAGAGGGGGTGAGGGGAGAGGGGGAAGCCACAAATCATGGCGACCACAGAGCTTTCCGCGAAAGGTTTGTCCTGCTCTTCTTAACCTGCCACAGACCCTTAAAGGCCGACTACCAGACTCGAGAATCTGCAAGGCACAACATCCTCCTCACCATAGGGGAGGAGAAAACAGGCAACGGTGGACAGGGTACAAGGGGGGAGAGGAGGAAGCGATCGGAAAAGTGGAAAGCGCGAACTGGTCGTCGGCCTTTAACCTTTCCGCACCAGTGCCACTTCACTGGTGCAGGAAGTAGCGGCAAAGCGAGCTTAAAATAATAACCTCGCCAGTGTCACTTCACTGGTGAGCACGCCATGACGTTGCTCTTTTTGCGCCGTTTGATTGGTCCTTCCGCTCATAACATCGGCCGCGCTCGGACCTGAGGTGAAACAAAGTATAGTTTAAAAAAAAAAATAATAATAATAATGCTTGTATTTTTTTTTTTTTTCGGGTGGTGTTTTAATCGCAAACGTAAAAGCGGTGGTTTGGCTAATGTCTCACAACCAGATTTCGTATTGAAAAGCTTAATTGTTATTACTTTTTTTTCTTCAGTTCCGCTACCCACTCGGGCTAAAACCAAAACTAAAATCGCTGCACGATTTTAGAACTTTTCTAGGATAATTCTTTCAACTTCGTCGTTTCTTAAAGTTTCAGAACAGCCGCCCGATAGCAACGTCTCGACAAGTATTAGTGTGAGTACGACTACCTGTTTCTTTTGAGACTCGGTAACAAGTAATATACTTGGATACTTTGTTTTTAATAGTTGTACAAAAGTGATGAAGATTGATTTAGATATGGTACGCGGTACGACAGCTGGGGGGTTTGGTGCGGACAAAACAAAATATTTGAGACCATACGTCTCATACTTTTTTGTAAACAATAATTGAGCATTTGAATATAAAAAAATATCGAATAAAAAAAACTGACCTACCGTAAGTATAAAACAGCCTCTACCATCAGCTGATATGGGTACTCTCAAAATTTTTGTTTGGTCATGCGCATTGCAAATATAGCAGCTGGCGTATTGACACGCATTAAAGAATATGCATCGAGAGTTCGATGGCTGCGGCTGCAAACTTCAAGGGGAGACGAAGTTAAAATTCAGACACAATTCAAGAATACGCCAGAAGCCCACCCTCCTTAGCGCCAGCCACAGTCCCTCAGCGACGCGCAAATAGTCCGCTACCGAGGCGCACGTTGCGTTAATAGGGTTCTGTGTTTTCGGTAAATACCTATAAACCTCGATAAATAACTCCCATAAGGTTTTCTCTGAATTGGGAAAAACTGAAAAGCCCCGAATTGGAGGTGCCTTTAAATAGGGAAATCCCCGGTTTCGGTGAAGGATATCTGCAGCATTGTTTTTGTGACCCTGAACACAGCCCGTACTATCCGTTCTTGAGGCTGTATTTTTCCTTTGGAAACCGAGTCTCTTGCCCCAGGCCCCTGTCTTTTCCTGACGTCAGTAACAAAGTGTCTTTTTTTTTTTTAACTAGTTAGGTCACGGGCGTAAGTTCCATGGACCGATGAGAGGGGGGGGGGGGGGGGGGGGGAGGGGGAGGTCACAAATTTATGGATATGGAGTTGTTAGCCCCGAACCCTGATTTCTGGCCTGGCGCTGAAAATAAACACAGAAAAACACCGATTCTGGCAAGAAAATATAATAAATCTCGAAAACAACGGATCTTTACTCATAATTCGTCATGGATACTGCCTTTTCTGGTTGTTCCGTGGAGCGATCCGATGCCGTGGTTGGTACGTGGTGGAGTTTAGTTGGCGCCTTCTTAACTTGTACTCGACTGTACGCCTCTCAAGAGACAAAGAAAAGAAGAAAAAAACATCGAGTTACTGTGTGGTGCGCGCCAGCGCGGCATCCGATATTCCGCAGAAGAGCTAGTGCGCATGCTCGAAACGCTTTCTGCAGAAAGATGGCATCGCACATAGAGCGAATATTACAACGGTCTTAGTTTTTCGTGAAAGTCGAAGTTGTTGCGGATCCTGCTGACTTGGACGAGCTTCAGCGAGACGAAAATGTCCAACGAGTCTTATGCACGAGACTGTTTGGATATTGATACTCGTTGAGTCACATGGTCCACTCATGGACCATGTGAAATTGTCCACAGGTAAAAGATAAATCCGTTTTTGTTTGTTCCGATGAGCATCCGTCCCGGGTAGGAAAGGATCAAGAAATATCAGTCCCTTCAGTGCTACTTTGCGGACACTCAATCGCGCAAGCATAAATTGGTACCCTTTTTATGTTTCTTTATTGAATGTAAATTACCTATTTTGTGCTGTGAGCCACAGCACAAAAAGGCGAAAAAAAATTAAAGGGCGGCAAATGGATGCTCGAGTGAAATTTGTAGAAACCACGGGAGTGATTATCTATGAATGCGATAGCATTTATCGTTGCACTCCGTCAAGTTTAGCTGGGAAACATTCAATTGGTGCATAGGTTGTGACGTCACTTTTTTTCGCTAAATTCAGGGGGGGAACTTCGCGCTAAATAAAGCGCCGTCCTATACCTCGGCGCTAAATGCTAGTCGTCCTTGAGATCACCCTAGAGGTCGTCCTAGACGTCGTTCCTAATGTCGTCCTCGGAGCCGCCTTGGCGTCGTTTAGGACGACGTCTTAGAGGGCGACATCAAGAATGACCTCTAAGACGACCTCAAGGGCGACCTCTAAGACGACCACTAGGAAGACCTCAAGGACGACGTCGAAGACGGTGTCTCGAAAAACTTCTAGGGTGATCTCAAGGACGACCTCTAGGACGATCGCAAGGACGATCTCATAGGGGCAACGTCTAGGACAACATCGAGGACGATGTCAAGGTCGTCAGGTCCTTCGAAGAGGGTGCGAATGGGAAGGAGTACGTACTGCCGCTCGGCATATGCGCGGCACTAAGGGGTGCGATCACAGTGAACTGAGATGGTTACTGCACATTAGGACGCCAGATATACATAGGTGCAAATCTTTAGTAGATTAAAGGGGTCATGAAGCGATATCGGGTTGGAATGTTCATGACCTTGCAAAGGCGTACTGGTCTTAGTCTGGCCCAAGCATGCTCGCACAAACCGCCACTGATTCAGAAGCTTCTTTGTCGTAGTGAAATTGCGAGGATAAAAGGGGACTATTTCTTTCAATTGTGCGTTCGCAAAGATTGGTGATGTAATCGTGGCATCGAAGCGACCCACCCGACGACATTCTATCGCGGCTCATGTATTGGACACGAGAACTGCGCGAGCACTCGACTTCGGCTCGTAACAATCAATGCCTCGGGGGACACGCTGGTAGTGGCTCGTGTCCGACCCCTGCGGTGATGAAAATAACCTAACTCTAACAATGCCTGGAGCTCTGCGTGCATCTTCTACTTTGCCAACCCCGGCGCGTGTTTCAATTCACCAAGTTCGGCGCGAAGGTTTCCAACATTCAGCACCTTCTTGATGTGCCGGACTGGGAGACGGTCATAACGTGCACTCCGCATCCCGTGGAAAAGTGGCGTCGCTAGAGAGCGGGATGATTAACGTTGGCGGCATAGGATAGTCACCAGGCCACGTGGCCGCTTGTTCTGGCTCCGACATAAGGGGATAAACGATGTTCATAGTTATCGAATGGTTTTGGCGACTGCCACTGCATGAAAGAAAAACTAAGGCAAGCTTATTCAGTCATTAAAGTTAGGGAATAATTCTAAAAAGTAGTTCGTAAAAGTAGAAAAATCGTTTTATGGCTCCTTTAATAATGCTTTCGCATTAAAAGTAACTAAAAGATCTATTTAACTCTGGACTTCGACAATAAACTAAACCTAACAGAATACTTCGCGACCGAGAGTAATACGCTCTTTTCAAACCACCCCCAAGCATGAATGGCGGTCGCCATCTTGGATGCCTCGAAGCGTGGTACTGGATCCGAGCCGTCGACGAACGCTGACGCAGCCTTCGTGTCCAATCCATGTCCAGGTTGTGTGCCCAAACAATGGCGGACTGGGCGCGCACTTTTGAAAAAGATCTATTCTGGTTGGGGCACCTTTCTAACGCTGTTTCGTTTCAGGTAGGAACGCTCGACCGTCAGCCAGAAGACGATGACGAGGTCCCGGGACGGGAGTTCATTCCAGACGAAGTGCTCTATAAGGAATAAAGAAGTATGCTTGATATCATAAAATATGCGAAAATGAAAAGCATTTTGCCCTTCGTTCTTCGCTTAAAGGGATACTGAATCGAAACTTTAAATTAAGAAAAAGACATGAGATAAGTCAAATAGGATTATATAAAACTGTAATTGATAATGGCATGGTTGTATTTGAAATGGATGGCTATATTTCTTGTTCTAAGTGCCTGGATTTCGGCGACCGCTTCAAAATCAGCCACCGAAGAACGCGATGCATCTTGGGGGATGCGGCAGATCCGGCGCGGTCTTGACGTCGTCGCGCCATGGAGGGCCAAGCGTAGCGTAGTTATAAGTTTTGCCACTTGGAGACGTCAAGGTGTTACAATCTCGTTTAGTCTAGGTACCCGAGGGCTGATGACATATGACGGAACCGACAGAGGTGTCTCCTGTGTGTGGTGGCCGACCAGCGCAACGAGAGTGGTGGGTATGAGGACGAAGACGCCGCCACACCACCAGTGGCCAGGATGGTCGAGCTGCGATTCGCCCTAAAGCCGTATTGGTATGACCCGTCTGCCTTGTCTTCGTTGTCCGCAACACGTAACAGAGCTTAAGCGCGAGACACATGCGCGAAAAATCCATCCGATCCGACGTCCGATCCGGCAGTACGACTGCCTGATCCGACATTTATCTTAATGACATTGTGAACATCAACCCTACTGCCAAATTCATAATATACGCGGATGACACAAGTATTTTCTTTTCTGGTAATGACATCCACAAACTTGTAGACAAATGTAATTTTACAAGGAAAGCAATAGAAAAGTGGTCAGTTTCCAATTCCATGCAGATAAATGAAGTAAAAACTAAAGCAGTCATATTCAGACAAAAAAAAAACAAAAAAAACAAGCCAATTCCAGTACATAAAGATATCATCCTAAATTCACGTTCTATAGAAATTGTTGAACATTTTAAGTGTCTTGGCGTCGTATTTTCTTCCACTATGTCGTGGGATAGCCACATAAACCATGTAGTAACTAAGATAGCTCAGATCACAGGCATCATAGGTCGTATTAAATACCTTCTTTCCACAAAAAGTAAGTTACTCCTTTATAATTCGCTCTTCTACTCTCATTTAAACTACTGTCAATTGGTATGGGGAACAACAATAATTTCAAACCTTCAAGGTGTTCATATATTACCAAAAAAAAATGTCTTTGTCATATTTACAATGAGCCTTTTGGAGCGCCAAGTACTAACTTGTTCCACCGCTCCCATGTGATTAGTGCATTTAACTTGTATAGATATCGATTAAGTACCAGGTATAAATTAGAAACACGAAACAATATTACTAACTTACGTGATCTGGCTCATCTTCAAATAAAGAACATAACTAGTTACTCAACAAGACATAGAGAAAATTGGGTGGTGCATACACCTCGTTCGAACTATGGAAAAGATTGCCTAAGTTTCATACTGCCGTCTTTATTAAATGAATATCATCTTGTGCATTTTGATTTATTTACCTGTAAGTACAGTGAACTCCGTAAAATGTATGAAACTGACAGAGTATGATTTTTTACGGTTTGTTTTTTGTGTAATTGTGTGCGCCCTAAACATTTATGATCACAATGTTTTTTTGTTTTGTTTTGTTCTTTGGTGAGTGTGTTGTTGCAATGTATTGTTAAAGGGACACTGACAGGGTATTTATGCTCGCCGAGGTTTTTAGTTGTACGTGACACACGAGAGCTCAACTACCCAGAACAGAATTTGCGGCTCGAAATGTGGTTTCTTTCCGCCCGAAAACCGCCGATCAAGAACTGGCCGGTTCGAGTCTTGCTCACTCTCTTTTTCGCGGTCACGGGCCGTTTTCTAAGGTATCGATGCGACCACCAAATTTAATCAAAGTCGTGGGTCACTGAAGGCACACACTCAATATTAAAAATAGGAAAAAATATGAAACCCATTTTTTGTGGCTTCTAAAAAGCTGTAAATACGTTGATTGAAAAAAAAAGTTCCACAGACAACCGGAAGCATTCTGTGCGTTCGTCGTTTCGCGTATCGTGGGACTCGCGGGGACGGTGATGGCAGGGACGACGGGCGTGGGACCTCTATTTCAGAACTGTCGTTCGCGCTACCGGCGAATTCTGTCTACCGTTAAAAGTGAAATTTGGGACTGATCAAAAGAATTGGTATTCATCCCGTACAACACGCCCGGCCACCAAGCCGATTTGCACGAAGACGTCGCCGAGCCGTCGCTCCCTTCTCGTGGCTGAAGACATCGCTCGCGCAAACGTCAAGCACGACGTGTCTACTTCGAGTTGAATATGTACGCGTACGATTTCTTTACTAGGTGCGAATGTCCCCAAAGCGTGGTGCTTCCCGACTTCGACCCGGGAGTGCTTTTGCTACAGAAAAATCGACAGCAAACTTTCCAACCTACAGTTTACCCGCTGAATTATTACTAAGGAAAGAGATGCACCAGAAAACAGATGCCCCAGTAGCTCAGTGGGAAAGACGTCCGCATCACACGCGGTAGGACCGGGTTCGATCTCCCATGAACTTTTAGTTTTTTTTTTTCTAACATTTTTTTATGTTTACATATCTTTTTCTTTTTTTTTTTTACAATCATCACTGAAGAAACAAACAAATTTTGTGGACGATACTGCGCTGAATTAAATGGTATGGGATTTCCGCTTTGACACCTGCGAACTTAATGTAATCACTTTCCACAAAATGCAAGGAGCATATAAATCAGGTAGCGTACGCTTTCCGAGTTGCCCGTAAATGTTCTACAGGAATTGCAGCCAGCCATTGGTCCCGATCCCGTTGATCTTTCGGAAAGTTCCCGCACGCCGCATCGCACGCCGCATGTCGTGTCGTCTGCTACCGGAGAGGAGAAAAAAAAAAACAAAAAAAAAAAAACGCACGGTCAGGTGTAGCCACGTGACTTCCGCCAGTCACTCTCTTCTCTCCACTTCTCCGACCTCTGTCGGGTTTCGGTTTCGGTTTCGAGCAGTTGCGCCTTTTGGCTTTATTAAAAAAATACGCTACTCTGTTGCAAAATATTAATTGGGTAGTCCTCCGACACCATAATAAAGCGCCTGGCAAAAAATAAAAAAAAAAAATTTGGGGGGTGTCAGTTACTTTTCTTCCCGCCTTTTTCTTTTGTTTTTCTCTTTTGTTTTTCTCTCCTTTGTAAGTACTTTAGCAGGATGCTGCTTAGCTGCCAATACTAAGGGTCTGTGGACTCGTCAAGCTGCAATGCTGCAGCTTTTTTCCACAGCTCCTTCATCTTTGTACAAGGTGAAAATAAACTGATTTGATTTGATTTGATTTGAATAATTTGGTCGCTTCAGACTTCGGATCGGCGATCCGACATGCATCCAACGCGGCAGATAGTTTCGCACGGCGGAGGGATTGTCAGATGCATCCAGCCAATGACAGCACAGCGCGAACGTCATGATGACGTACTGGGTCTGTCGGAACGAACAAGAAAACGGGACGGGTGACGGGAAGCCGGACGCGTGGATCCCGCTGACCCATTCGAGAAAGATTGCCCCGGCAAAGAATGCACGCGCTAACAAGAACGAGCTTCTAACTTCGCTCGTGTGAGCTAAACCGTCAATCTGGGACCAGAGATCTGTGAACGTTGACCTCCGCTGGAGTGCTTGGTTGGTAAGGAGATAACTCGTAATCTTTGCTTTTTGTAAACTCACAGTTTTGCCAATGACATCTTTAGATTTGATTTGTTTATATGACTACTCTGGGCTCTGACCTGATGTGATAACAAAAATTAAAATGACACCACCCCGCCAACGTTCTGGCACTTTTAATAGAACAAGAGATCAAGTACACTGTCGTTCCCCGTTGCTCAATTCACTCAAGAATTAACCAGGCTCAACATGTCTTTAAAGGACATTGTTAATTTGATAGTTCTTGTTTACCTCAATTTTATTACAGCACTCTAAACAAATACTTGTCTTTTAAATGTAATATATATAACGGGCATGGTGGCGGGAGGCCGAAGGCGTGGGTATAAAACTGAGAAGAAAAAAACCTTTAGTGAAAAACAGCAACTACGGACGATTTAATCTTCGACGTTTCGGCCGGAGTCCGGCCTTCGTCAGGAAGATATATATATATATTTCAAGGCAAGAATCCCGAACTCGTAATTATTTTTGGCAGTTGCTCTTGTTGATAGAGATTTCGCGCAGCCGAGATGCACCCTTCAACGAAGAGCTCGCACTTGCAGCCTAGTAGCGGAATCGTTGTACATTACAAAAAACTGGGAAGCCAAAAAGCGAACGCCGTTTACAAGTCCCTGTAACGCCGAATTAGAGCGCAGCTCTCGAGGAGGAGGAGGGAAGGGTCCTGGGGGGGGGGGGGGTCAGCTGACCCGGGGGGTCACGTGACCTAGGGGTGACAATGCCGATGATGTCAGTGACGTCACTGATGACGTCATCAGTGACGACGATGCGGATGCAGATGACTCAATTAGTGACGTCACTGATGACGTCACCAGTGATGATGACGATGCGGATGTCGGTGACATCATCAGTGACGTCAGTGATGATGACGATGCGGATGCCGGTGACGACATCAGTGACGTCACTGATGACGTCATCAGTGATGATGACGATGCGGATGCCGGTGACGTCATCAGTGACGCACTGATGACGTCATCGGTGATGATGACGATGCGGATGCCGGTGACGTCATCAGTGACGATGACGTCATCGGGGAGGGGGTCACGTGACCTCAGGGGAGTCACGTGACCTCGGGGGGTCACGTGACCCCGGGGGGGGGGGGGGGGCTCGCGCTGTGCATTATGGGACATTTCCCATAATGCACCGCGCGGTTACGCCGACGCCGACACCGCTGAAGCCGGAAACGGGCGCCTGCGAGCTGCGCCTAAAAATGAAGCGAAAGAAAGGGCAAATGAACACAGATAAGTATGCGTAAACTATGAAAATACGATAAAAGAGCAGAGCTACATTTTAGCGAAAAGGAATTTTCGAGATGAGGTCACTATGGTGCATGCCATTTCTAACGCTCGAGACATGAGAACCGGGT